GTGGTACGTTACGTACTTACTACGTACTACTACTACTACGTACTAACTTATAGTAGTAGTCGTTCGTAGTGGTACGTACTCTACTACGTCTACTACTATATATATATATATATATATATATAAACACTACACTATGCGTATAGATGAAGTTCTACAGTGCTTTACCTACGGCTTATCATTTTTCAAAGTTGATTAGCCAGTCACATATGTATAATAGTATTTGAATTTTAATAATATCTTTTCAAATCATAATGATTTGAAATTTTATAGGTGTGTACGATTTTGTGAGGCGCACCTGAAAAAAATATAAAAGCAATAATTTGGATGATAAAAATAGCCTAAAATATCCCTATGAAGTATATGGGGTATTTGTTTTTGATATTTTTATATTAGTTTTTTAATCTTTTATTTTGGTAAGAGTTGGTCATACATACGCACGCATCGAGTATTAGAAATCTCTGACTGGTAAAATAATTATTAAATTCAAAAAGTACCAGACAACCATGAATGTATGATGGACTTTGGACGTTGATGAGTAGTCGGTCCATGATCGCATCGTAGCTAAGGGCCCAGCCCGAGATCCCTTTTTCGAAAAATCGTGTGCCTACGCGTGCATGTATGTGTGACTTGTGTGCGATGTGCTGATAGGAACCAATTAAATGAGGAAGATTTTGGTAGTGAGGAGTTAGGCACCTACCTTGCGCGGTTGAGGTCGTGGACACGCTCGGGCTTTGTGAGGCCTCTTGGATCACTATTGAAAGCCCCTCGGCCTCTCGGCATGGTTTGAACCTTGCTCCCTTATTCTCACGCACGCTTCGTATGTGTGCCTGGGGTAGAGAGCCCTTGGTTTGCCCTTTGGATGGTTTCAAGTGATAGGCTTAGGAGGGTAGCTCAAGTTTTAGATGGGAATACAAGAGGATGGGTGAGAGAAAAAGATATAAGAAATAGAAGGTAAGAAGGAAAAAGGGGAGGATAAGAGAATAACGAAAAGTGAAGAGAGAAGAGAGAAGAGAGAAGAGGAGTATGAGGTGAAGAGAGAAAAAAAGTGGGAAGAGAGAAGAATATAATTTACCAATTTGCAGCTTTCCGACCTTACCTCCCCTAGGGGATATTATCAGGAGCCTATTGAAAAGGTACTAGGCAGAAGGCCTCAGTACCTTGGCAGATTCTTAAGGTCATGAGATATTGGCCGGGTTGAACCCAACTGTAAATATGCCTCAAAAGAGCCTCCTTGGGAGGGATATAGTGGAGAAAAAGAGAGACAAGAGTGAAGAGATTTAAAAAACAAGTAGAAGAGAGAAAAGGAGAAGAGAGAAAGGGAAAGAGAAGAGGAAGAAAGGAGAGAGTTGTTTGAACATATTTTTCAGCACCTTGGGTCCCTGATGAGGAATAACAGAGAAGCCGATCAATAAAGCCCTGACATACAG